TAAGATCTTATATTTTAAGTTTAATTTTAATTTTAATTTTAATTTGATTCTTCCATCCAAATAGTCATTAATTTCTTCTACGTATACATCTCAGGAGAGTAACACGTGTGACAAAATTATTAATTTTAATCTCCAAGTTAAATAGAAATATCAATTTGAAATTGGACTGAATGTATATGGATCAAATTGTTTAAATCAAAACAATAATGATTAAAATGAAATTTGTATTGAATTACAAGATTATTTTCCATAGTTGATTCTATGAAAAGATACTCTAACTCGGTGGATATCGACTATATAGTCTCTGTCATCTCTTTAGATTTGACAGGTTACAATACAACAAGTTTGACGATACATAATCAATCACAAAAAAATATAAGTGGAACAATTTAAGTGGAATATTCTCTTTAATTATGAGCTCTGTCATTTGATATATGTAGCGTTAAAATTATTTTATATGATTAATTCTACAATCAATTATAATCAATTATGTGACCTTGGACTTAATTGGTTGCAATATATGCAAGGTACCAAGACATGGTCACATTTTTCATAATAATAAGGTAGCCCATAAGTGAAATTGTAAGGTAGCCCATAAATGAAATTGTAACAATGCAAATAACACAGCAAAACCACTCAAGAAAGATGAATAATCATCGAGGGATGGAAAACCAGTGTGGGAAGAGAGAGAGAGACAACACCACATGATATAAAGTGATGGTTAGCTTGAACTGCACAACATATATGTAAGTGGGGTGTAGTTTTGTATTAGCTTTATTAGATCAGATATGTAATGTGTCACCATACACAACCAGCCTGCTCCATAGTGGAGAGGTATTGGTGGCTCCAACCACAGATGTGAAATTTCATCACCAACTTCTGGCTGTGGCTCCAACCCTAGATGTGAAATTTCATCACCAACCACCCCCATATATGGAAAGTCATCTTCAAATAAAATAAGAAAATTTAACAATAATGTTAATTAAGTTGTAAAATTAAATACAAAATTGGACATAGAAAGTATATGAACAAATAAAAATTTACAAAATTTGTTGGTTAGGCTCGCTTCTCAAAAATCTTGCACATTTGTTTTTTCATAGGTTGATTTATATGTTTGATTTCTGTATTCCTAAATTTATTAAAAATTGAATGCATGTTTTTATAATAAAATGATGTGACAATAACAATCTTACAAATATAAATCACATCGATGAACTTTTTTTTTTAAATGATAGGACCAAGCTCCAAACTCATTCTCTAAACTTTTTGTTTATATATTAACTTATATATGTATATATATATAGATATATTTATCATTTTAGAACAAAGCTGCAATTCAAATATGTCCAAATTAACTCTGCAATTTGAGAAGAAGGTGAGCGAGTTAGGTTGAGCAGGATAAGTAATAAAAATTGGCGAGTCCGCTTATAAACTGATCCTGATCCAATTTGCTTGTTGGAAAAATAACGGATTCGGCCTTTAACATTCAAATTCAATCCAAAAATTATAAAGATAAACTCTAATCTTTTTTATTGATAGAGTGATACTACAATATGAATATCACCGATCACAATTCACAAGATAGAGATACATGGTTATTCTTAGACATCATCAAAGAGTTGAATAATATTATATTAGAAAGATGTAACCACTCATAACTTTATCTCCTGAAAAATAAAATAATGAGTTATTCAAATTCAAACTAATTGAATTAAATAGGACCTGTCACTACAATATTTTCTTAGTTTAGTGACATTTGAAAGTGTCATAAAATTATTCTTCTAATGACATTTTTTGGTCTTGTGGCATTTTGAACAAATACCACTTCTATTGGTGTCACGGTAGATACGAGTGCCACGGTAGATACTTGCAAGTGCCACTGCACCATCATAGCTGAAAACTTTCAATGACATTTTAATGTCATGGTAGATATTATTTGTGGCAATTTAGAAAATATATTGACATTTTTTGTTTTTTAAAAAATGTCATTATAAGCTTGGAAAGTTTTTGGCTTAGTGACATTTCTCAAAATGTTATAAAATATTTGTTTATGACACTTTTCAAAGTGCCATAAAAAGTAATTTGCACCTACCTAATGTCCTGACATTTTTTAAAAAATGTCATTGCAACTAAAGTTTAGTGGCATCTGTTGGTAAATGTCACGAACATAATTTTGTGTCATTATTTTATAAAATGTCATAAAATTGATGTGACATTTCTTTATTAATATGTTACTAGAGCCTTATATGTTTTGTGGTTCTATGGCATTTTTCTAAAACATTTTAATGCCAATTTTTATTTTTGTGGCATTTTCTAAAAATATGCTACTAGTGTAGTGTCACTAAAGTATAAATTTGTTGTAGTGACATTTTTGTTGTAGTGAAGTGACACTTTTTTTAATTGAAATACCACTAGAGTCTTGTATGTTTGTGGCTCTATGACATTTTTCTAAAAAATGCCACCAAATATCATTTTTGCGACATTTTTTAAGAACATGTCACTAGTATGGTGTCACTAAAATATGTTTTTGTTGTAGTGTTGTGACACTTGTTCATTGAAATGTCACTAGAGCCTTTTATGTTTGTCGTTTTTTGGCATTTTTCAAAAGCGTGCTACTAAATATCATTTTTTGTGGCATTTTCTAAAAATAGGCCACTAGTGTAGTGTCACTAAAGTATGTTTTTGTTGTAGTGTGTGTCATGCAACCCAGACTGTCCAAAACCTGAATCCAAAAACCTACCCATTTTTCAACATTGTTTATGGTCCAAGTGCAACAAAAGATCAAGAAAGAAACAAAGAAAGAAAGAGAGGGAGAGAGAGAGCTTTAATTTGAGGTAAAGAAAGGAAGAAGCATGTGGGTTGTGCATGTAAGAGAGGGGGAATAAAGTGATGAAGAAAAAGAGAAGAGTACGTTTGGCGATCCCGAGGTTGTTTTTGTTTACATGGAATAACAAACATCCTTTGATCTGATCGTAAAAAAAGAAAACAGACACACAGAACAAACCTAAAAACAAAAGCCCCCCAACTCCATTCTTTTGATTTTTCCACTCTCAAAAAGGAGATAGAGACTATAATAAAACAAAACCACCATAACAAAACCCATTCTCTAGCATATCCTATCATCCATATTATTCAAGATTTTTTTTTGTGTGTTTGGTTTGTGTTTTGAGATAAAAAAAATTTAAAAGAAAATTTAAGGAGAGAGTTTAGAAATTTTTTTTGACAACAATGAAAGAGAACCCTAATTTTGGAGCTCTAATGATGTAGCAAAAAAAGAAAAAAAAAATACACAAAAACATAGGTACACACATCACATCGCGTATAGACCTCACTCCTTACCACATTACTAGAGCTTTCTTTAGAGCCTTCAAAATTAGAGCTCGCAATCTTTATTCTTTTTTTGGTTTATTTGGTTGTATATTTTAAAAATAGTTTTGGAGATTGAGATTATTTGATATTTTATTGTAGTTGAATAGATATGTGTGAGAGAGAAAAAGTGATTGATTGATGTATAATAGAGAAAGAAATGATTTTGAATTTTTTTTGAGAAAATTTGTAACCAAACATGTTTTTAAAAATTTTCTTTCAAAAACATATTTCAAAACACAAACCAAACATTGTGGGTGCTTAGGAAGTTGCTATTTTAGTAGGCTATTTTAATTTTTGGCTATTTTAGTAGACTAAAATTTGTGTATTTGGAAAGATGATTGGATTTTTTTTAATTGGATGTGATGTTTGTGAGAGAAAAAGTGAAATATTATGAGTTTGATGTGATATTTTGTCTTATTAACTATTTTAACCATTTTTGTCTTTTAATGCTATTTTAGCCCCAAAAAAACTGAAAAACCTTGTTCCCAAAGACCTCAATTGTTGCTAAATCCTTCTATCTTTTTATGTTCTAATATATTTATAATTATTGAATTATGTTTTAAAATTTTGAAATCTTAAAATATTTAATACAATAGTTGGTAAGGATGAGTTAGGAAAACATGGTTGAATGGAAAAAGTGAAACAAACCAAAACATTGATAGCGGTTGAATTATGCTTCAAGATTTCTTTGTTTTGAGCTTTTAACGAGTATTTTAAAAGAGACAATCTTAACCCATGGACTTAGTGAGGACGATTTAGAAAAAGCAATTTAAGCTTAATATTGAAGACGATACGTCATTGGAATTTTATTTTCATAAATCCTCATGTATTTTTATCTTAAAACATTTACAACCATTAAATAACTTTTTAAAAATTTTATGTAATTCAATGATTATGAATGTTTTGACACAGAAAAACAAAGATTTCAAAATAGAAAATCCTAACCCATATGCTTAAAAAGGATGATTTAAAAAAAGGGGGTTTAAATGGATAAAGTGGAACAAGCCAAATATTGAGAAGGAATATAGAATCCAAGACAGATAGGTCCAACTATTTCAGGCTTTTTCATTTTGTTGGGTATATAAATATATATCATTGCTTATCTTTTACTTTAAAGCCCATAAGCATGCCTTTTAAACCTCATTACAACTGTACGGAAATTGGGTCCAATTACTTCAGTTTCATTTGCTTGCAAGAAAATAGTAAAGGTTGGTTTCTTGAGCTATCCTCCCTTACTTTCCTCCTTTTTTTCTTCTCCTTTTTTTTTTTTTTTTTTAATAAATAATCTAAGACATACCCCGCACAGCCTAATCTAATTGGACTCGAGTTACCTCATCCAAACAACTGAAAACTAATTTTTAGAGCCTTGAAGTTAACGACCAGTCAAATTTTCAAATAAAGAAAAAAAAATTCTAGTAAATCAATTCATTTTCCCTTGACCATAGGTTACACTTTCTATTGATTTCCATTTTCTATTGTATGCTAGAAAATGACTAAAAAGATTGCAAGACTAGCAATTTACCTAGATGGTCTTTCATGTGTTTATTCACATAAAATACATATAAGTTCATTTCTCTAGGACTAGAGTTCATCCTTCACCTGTGCGTTAAAAAAAATAAATAAAGAGCAAATGATAATTTAACAACACTTGATGCATTGATTAGGAAGGATAAGACAATGAGGTTCTCATTTCAAAGAAAAAGGAAAGAACCAAAAAAAAAACTTCCATATCTAGAGATTCAAATCCCTTACAAGAAAGGCCCCAAATTGGCATTGCATTCTTTTTTCAGAAGTTAGTTGTCCAATTGAGATGACCTAGTTGAGGTTGCTGATATGCACCCACCTGGGTCCCAGGAGTTGCCGCCGCCACCCCAACTCCAACATTGCCACCCATGGCGGGTCCCAAGTGGTGGGGACTAGCAATTGCCGTGGGCTGTGGAGGAGGATGGTACAAGCCTGGGAACTGCATGTGAGAAGATTGTGCGGCAGCTGCGGCATTGAAGGAAGCAGCATGACCAGTGTGGGACGGCAAGTAAGCAGCATGAGGCGTTTGACCTGGCATATTGTAGTACGAAGCAGATTGCAAACCAGGAAGCTCCCTCGGATTCTGAATCCAAATTTCAGAAGTCTCGGCCTGTCATTCGAAACACAAAATGGTAAACCTTGTGCTAAAATTAGTACTCTCTAACAAAGTGGAAAATGTCACCTGTTTAGTGTTAAAATTCAAATTTATTCCATAACGAATATCAACATCATATTACAAGAAAGAAAAGCAAGGCCACAAGATACCAAGGCAATGCTTGGCTTGGAATACTCAAAACCAATTTGATTCATTAAATATTAAAATAATTCAATCAACTTTGTGAAAAATCATGTTTAGTTAATGCGAAGGCCAAAAATACCACACTCTAAAATTCTTTGATATATTGCTCCATGCAGATATGCAACATTTCTGCTTAAAAGTCAATCACCTCATGACCTAATTATGATTGAATAATTATTTTCCTAAGCAAATATATAAGATAAATCATTTTAAAACTGGTTAACCAAACTTAATTTTCAAAACAAAATCTTATTTAATCACTATGATTAAATCAGTGAAATTTATTGAAAGCATCTTGACATTCAGCACCCAATGCAGATAAGATGTTTTCTCGTCACATCGTCATTTTCCTAATCAACCAATAAATTGGGTAAATACCGTGGCACAGGCCCATTAACTTCATTCTCAGAACAACCAACCGCTCATAACAGCATCACATGGATAGGAAAAACACCACCCCAAACCAAGCATTGAGCCCCACTAATTTGGATAATTTGCTAGTCTCTACATGCCACTTGTAACTATATAAACTAAAAATTAGTGACCGAGTTATTTGAGGAAATATGTACCTGCGGATTAGGAACATACAGGCTGCCATCTTTGTACTTGAGCCGAGATGAATCATCAAGCCCTGTCGCACCGCCAACTACACCTTGAGCATTCATAGCATATCCGGTTGAACTAGTGAAGTTCCCAAACCCTGTGGGACTACCTCCAGGAACAGGCTTAAACTGCTGAATTCCATACTTGAGGCTATTTGCACCAAGATGTGAGCTACCTCCGGGCATCAGCAAGTAACTGCTTCCATTTGAAGGATGAGGATAGGTAGCGTTACTAGAATAGCCAGGCATGGGCATTGGTGGAACATAGACGGGGGATAGGAACTGGCGGTATGGCATGAGGTTGGCGAAATGAGAAACGTGAAGTTGTGGATACATTTGTGCCACTGGTTGTTGCTGCTGTTGTACCATGGCTATTGCGGATGTAGGGACACTGTTGGCTGTGTGCGAGCTCAAGGCCTGTGACCAAAATGCAATAATCATTAAATGCTTGATGCCTGGGTATCAGTATAAAATGGCGTTTTGATGATGTATAAAATAAAGGGCTAACTTCAATCTACCCCCTCATAGTTTACTCCGTGTGCAGTTTGTCCTCTTTATCATTTAAAAATGAGTACATAACCCCGGTGATTTGAGGACTAAAGTACACCGCCTAACATTCCATCCAAGTTAACAAGTGTGAAACACGTGTACAGACATAAGGGAGTTATGTGCTCATATCCAAATGTTAAGGGGTAAATTGCACATGAAGTAAAGCACAAAGAGGTTAAGTGCATTTTGAGTTCCCAAAAAATGACAAAAATACCTATGGTTACTTATGTATAAGGGTATTTTTAGTCTTTTTACTTGAGCCGTTAACTGTACAAACAGTGCACCTTAGTCCACAAACCACAAGGGGTTATGTGCTTACTTCCAAATGTGAAGAGGTAAACCGCACATGGAGCAAACCATAGGAAGGAAAAGTGAAATTTGCCCTAAAATAACTAATCCTTGGTTTTGCACTATAATACAACATGTGTGAATTGTGTTCAATATTCCAGTAACTAAAAACAACATATAAGGGCATGTCCATGCATGTACATGCATGTGTACAAAAGAAGATGCATACATAACAAATCCAAGAGATTTATGTCATTCAATTTTACCTCCCAAGGATTTTGTTCAAAAGAATTTTACCACCGAAAATTTCATGCATATATGACAAGATTTTCTTGTTCAAAAAAAATTTTTTTACCTCCTGAGGAGACGGTAGACCATGCCCCCTGACAGTCTCATCCATTGATGGTCTGAAATATGGGATGTCATATCCAGTTTGGGGATCATACGCCTGTATCCAAACCAGCAGAAATCAGGATGTCTGATCAGAAGAAGTAAATAAAAGATATACGACACAAGCTTTGTTTGGTAACACTTGTAAGTTAACTTATTTACTTTATTCGCTTAAAAAAAGTTGGCTAATGGTGTTTGGTTGCGATTTTATATTTGCAAACTTACTCGACTTTTTCAGCTTATTTGGCCCAAAAAAAGTAAGATTTCCTTGAGCTACAATTTTGTAACTTTTTTGGCTTATTGAAACACTTTTTAGGGCATTTTGGATATTTGCACAACAAAAAAGCTATGAAATAGCTTATTTAACAAAATGAGTTCCATTTTTTTCACAGGTTATGAAAAGTTGCACTAAACATATTTACAACTTATTTTAATTCATTTAAGCTAATAATTTGAAAAACTATAATCATAAAGGGCAACTTATAAGTGATCTCAAACGGGGCCTCCTTTGGGAGAATCAAGAGGAGGTTATTAAACATCAAAAGCCAAACCAAACAACCAGTCCACACTCTTCAATCAATTGACCTAAGGTTTGCAGACAAATTCAAAAGTATGATAGTGTATGGACTTACCGAGAAATTTGGTAATTCGGGTGCATCTTGCTGGTGTTGTGACTCTGAAGGAGTGTAGGACGGACTGTCGTCACGAACCAACCCAATGTCGGAATAACTGTCCAAATTCGGGGGACTAGAAGACACTTTCTTATCAGACATCTGATTATCAGATATTGCACCTGATGCTGGAGAATTGGAACCAGAATTTCGAACTTGATCATCTAGTAAATCTACGTGCTTGCTGGCAGAAATGTCATCACTGGAAAACTCCGGGGCGGATGCTGACAAACTGCTGATCACATTATCATAGAAGCATAAGTTGCAGTTCAACAATAAATCCTCTTTGCTTTAAAAGCGAAGGATAATTTAGAATTTTTTATATCTATTGAAGTAGTAACTTCGTTTAATAGGTAGTAAAAGTAAAAGATCTAGAAAGAGAACCATAACCACAAATATTTTAAATAGGTCTTTCCATCAAGTGGGTGAGCCGCATTTGGAGTCACCCCTTTTTATGCCTTACACCTTGTTGCGGAGGAATAGACAGAGTTTTAAAGAGGTAAAGCATCTAGCTTATCGGATGAAGAAAAGGATGAACCAACCTTGTACAGAGTTCTACGGATGAATTTTCTGCACTTCCAACTGTGTGGGACTCGGATACAAAGTCCCTAGAAGAATCAAACTCTGCCCCAAAGCTCCCAAAGGTCAGCCGACAGCGGTCAGACTCAGCCACTCGAATATGCTCCGCAATGATTACATTCTGATTCTCATAATTGTTTACTTGTGACGGTTTATCTTGCACCTGTGCTGCATCTGTTTCCAAGTCCTTGGGATTTTCAGTAGGATGTGGAACGGATTTTGCTGGTGTTCCAATAACTCCAGGACCGTTATGACTCGACTTTTTGCTCAATTTTGGTTTCCACTCCTTATTAGGCTGCAACACTGCACCAAAAGGTTCATATTAAATTTTGACACAAATAGATGCAATCATACAAGGTCAGCCAAAACTGTTGTGACAGATCTAGAAAAATTGGCAACAACTGAACGATTTCCAGAAAGCCAGTCAACTTCAACTTAATGGAAAAAATCTAATCATTTTGGTGTACAGAAATAGTAGTCATCATTTTGAGCCAACATATATTTTGGAAATAGTAGCTATTATATAATAACATATTTTCAATCTTAATAGATCAGAATATTATAGAAAAGACCTGTATCATACAAACCTAAAGGAGGAAAAATAAAATCAAAATCCCAGGAACCAATTTTATTAAAATCTGAAAGTTTGAGAGTAATTTGAAAAGCCACTTCTGTTTTCAACCAAAAGTAAACTCTTTGCAAAGTAAACAATCAATTGGTATATTTACAAGAAGTTCGACAATTCTACCTTTTTGGTGACCCACAATTTGTTGATGCGGTCTGTTATTATACTGATTGCTCAAGAAAGATCTGCTGACTGACATGCTGGGCACAACAGAATCAGTTAGATTAGTTTGACCTGGTTGATCACTTTTAGAAGTGGCAACAAAAGGTCGAAATGATTCTCCAGAAGATGAACCATCTTTTCCCAGATGCAAATTTGAGAAAGAACTGCTTTGTGCAGATGAAGGTGTCACTGAATTTTCATATGGCTGACGCCGAACACCTACCACCCCAAATTCACGCTTAATAGCACCAATAGTTGCAGCGGATCTTGAGTCAGGAGATGGGACATGAACAGGATCTGAAGAAGATGAATACACGCCTACAACAGAATGGTTTGATGCCAGGGTTGTAGAATGTGGTTGAGAATCGTTTGGCTGAGATCCATGCTCCTGTGTAACAACAGGTGGAACTGGTGCCCGCCTCTCCTCCTGTAATTCATTCCCAGTAGTGCTGCTTGAATTACTATCCCGGGATTGCCTATGGTGTGAAACAGTTGGCATAGCTGAACCTCGAGACGAATAACGCGCACCAGATGACTTTTGATTGTGAGAAGTCCCAGTTGAGCTGCTGACAAGGCCCATGGGTCAAACATTTTTGCAATAAAACCATTAACAAGTGCAAGAATTGCCAACGCCAACCAAAAGAAACATAATTTACAGCCAAGGGCAGCAATAACTTTATTTCAAATAAGGAGCAGTAATATCTCTTCGTTTTTAGGAGGAGTAGGCATAAATAAGCAAGAAAGAAAAGGAAACTGAGAGCTAATGGAGAAACTGATAATTCAATAATTTTCTTCTATACAGAATAATGACAAAACCACACATATCAAACAAGAAGAAAAGGATAATATACAACAAAATATAAAAAAACGCAATATCACTGTATCCTCAACCATGGTTGTTAAAATCGCGATCCAGATCGTAGGATCGTACGATCCTACAATCCTACTTTGCCAAAACGATCCAAATCGTTGTAGGATCGATGTTATAACAGGATCGCAAGTAGGATCGTGTAGGATCGCATGGGATCGTGTAGGATCGTATGGGATCGTAGGTAGGATCGCAAGTAGGATCGTAGATTTTATGATTTTTCACCTTATTTTTAATATGTATCATTTTAATTTTTATTTTTATCTTTTTTTTTAATAGAAAGTAGGATCTTACGATCCTCGATCCGATCCTACGATCCGATCCACCAAACCCTCTCACCGATCCTACTTAGGATCCCGATTTTAACAACCTTGTCCTCAACTAAGAAAGATGAGCCAATTACTCTTAGAATTTCAAACAGAATCAAAAGCACCATATTCTCATTTGGAGACTATGGTAACTAAAAGGACAAGGAACGGAACTTGCAATCTTTCTCGTTATAAACTAATAATAGTAGAATGTGCTGATTAAAAGCCACTTTGCTACCAACATAACAGTCTAATTTTTCTGTAAGAAGGTAGATAAATGTGCAAAAAGTAGAAAGGGAACAACATATCCACTTGAAAGAAAAGTAACTATAGCATGAAAAGTACATAGGAGAAGAAAAATATTTACAAGAGAAAGAAAATGTGAGCCAGGCAGTGGAGTAAACAAGAGAAGAGCCTCAAACAATTTCAATCTCGGTCTAACTATTTAAACTGCTCTACGGTGATAATAAAATTAGGTAACTGTGAAGCATTTATAGAGTACTGTTAAATAGTAACAAAAAAACGTCAAGTGGTGATGCACAACAAGATTAAAATATAAGCCATACACCTTGAGGAATAGACTGAATGACCCAAAGGCTTATGATAATACATGAAGTCCATAAATAAGAGCTTAGCTTCAAGCTAGAAAGGTCTCATTAATGGGGGTCTAAATGGAGAAAATCGGCAGATCATAGACACTTCTAAGAAGGTTCCATGCCCGTGTCAGGTGCCAGCACTCATTTGACACTCCCAAAGTGTGTCAAACACGATTCAGACTTCTCAAAAAATTAGAACTTGACATGTTTCGGACATTTGAGAATCCATTGCACAGATATGAACATGGACATGAACATAAGTTTTAGCACAGACACAGACACAGACACAGACACGGGCATGAACATAAGTTTTAGCACAAAAAATTAGATCTGCACAAGTTTCCTCTGTAGAAGTGTCCGTGCTTCTTAGACAAATGGTTGATTTGCTGATCGTAACAGTACTGTACATTTGATTATAGACATTTTAAGATAATCTAAATTTATAGCCAGGATTCTGTAAATTGATATGCAAGGGAAAAAAATAAGTAAAGAACATATAAATGTACCCCTTCTCAGAAACATGTGGATTCACTTGCTCACTGGCAGACGTTGAATACTGCACCAAAAGAGGCTTCATCTCTCTATTGGTATTTTGATTTATTCTGTTATCTTTCACAACACGAAATTCCCTGCTGCCCCCTGCAACTAGTAAGATTCCATTTATTAACAAGCACACCACATAAAAGAGATCATGATATGTAGTTAATCAATAGTGAAGATCATGAAGGAAAACCACCATAAGATGGTATGAAGATACATAAAACAGAAAATATGAAATTTGTAGCATAAGAAGTACCATACACATGGTATGAAGATACATACTATGGAGCTCACGTAATTTTATACCAACAAAAAAAGAATATAGCACCCCCACCCCCACCCCCACCCCTTTTGTAGAACAGTTTGCAGGAGTCCAAAAGGTGAACTTCAAACTTGAAGTTCAACATTATCTAAATATTGTTGTCTATCTAACACCTTTTACATTCGGTAGGCGTGCATGATTTGCTTGCAACCCTTACAGCCTTATATATTTGACTTACCAAGAAGTCTACATTTCAAGATATGATCAATGGCTACTACAAACAATGGTAAACTAGATGCAGAAAATGGTATACGTGAATGACGTATTTCTAACTGAATGGCTTATATTGCTTTGCATATGCCCAGGTTTATCCTAGAAAAGAGAAAAGAGACATGCAAAAGCACGACTAGTTGACATCACTTATGGGGTACACAGCGAACCGATTCAAACTTAGCATGCTATCATTTGCAACTAATCTACCATTTTCCACAACAATTTCTGCATCAAGTTTGCTTCATCTGAAACTACTGGTTCCTTGACTATGCATATACGGCCACAAAACTTCATGATACCTTCATATGGTAAAAGAAAAGTTGGGTAAAAGGCACAACAGATGGCTTTTGAGAAGGTTTCCTCTCAACACTCAAATCAACTAAGCCGCAAACCAAAAGCAATTGCAAAATATCAAATAATACCAAAAACAACATTAAAAAGGAGCTGTGACATAATCCAAATATATAACGAAAAATTAAATACAAATCCTGCTTACCAGATGTAACATTCCGACCATAGCCTCCTCTTCGAACACCACGATCAGATGTACTGAATTTCATCCCTTGCCCTGCAAACTCACTGGGTTTCCTCGGTTCCATCAAACCCTTGTACCCTACATTCTGAGGCAATAGGTAAATATGTTTGTCAACTAAAATTGAAATGAATGGAAAATTCTCTCTAAAATATAATTAATCCTAAAAAATTTAACAACAAAACCACGAGTGTAAATTAAATGTGCATAGAGAGCTCCAAGAATACAACTATCTCAACTACATGAACATGCAGCCATGAGCATTGACCACCAACACGATTACACAATGAAAACATGATTAGCTCTAAAATTATTCATTCAAGCCACTTCACAAAACTCAACAAGAAATTAACCCAACAAATGTTGGGTAAAGCCTGTTAGTTCACATTTAGTCAGGGGATTGCTGTTAAAAAATTAGAACATATTTTTTTTTCTAGTGTTTATGTAAATCTCTACTCCTTTTTATTATGGAAGACCAACAACAACAGTACCTGAGCCCAAAAAATTACTTGATCTATGATCCACACATATGACTTGTGAGTACTAAGAAGCAATACAATACTACAAAATACAACGCAAGCAAAGCAAAATAAAGACCAAGAACAACTTTTCGGTTCTTCGCACAAGTAAATAACTAAAAAGAAACAAAAAATTACACACAACTGTACCTCTTTCTTCTTGTCTCTTTTTCTCCTGACCTCATGAAAAGGATCTGGATAAAAACAATAAGAAATGTGTAGCATTAGAGTATTGTAAACAAAATAAAGTAAGAGTAAATAAAACAAACCAAAAGTGTAAGGAAACAAACAAATAAACAAAAGTTTAGTAATAGAGAAAGATAAGTTTCGTAATGGAGAAAATTAATTCAAAAAATAAAATGGACAGAAAGAGTCCGTGTAAGAAAGAAAACCCAATCAAAGCGAAGAGTGCAAGCAATAAAAGAATAAAAAAAACCCCAAATGACAAACAAAAAAGCTGTCTAAAACAAATACAATACCAAATTGCGAAGAAAGACTAAGGCAACAATCTTCCAATTTCTCAAACTAGTTGCACCCCTTCGCTAAAAAATCAACACATTTTTTTTTCTCACCACATGGTTTTTTAGGGCTAGGTTAAAATGATTTCTTGGCGGGTGTCTCATGGTTACCTAGAAATGCCCCGTGGTAGTTTTTTCTTTCTTCGTCTCAAAATGTTATAGGTGGTACAAAAGCCTTAACTCAAGGTTAAGCAATGTACATACAATCAACTATGACTTTTTCAATGCATGCATTTGTTCCCCCCTCTAAAATTATTAAAAGCAATGACCCAATACCAGAAGTTAATTAGCCTAGTGATTATAAATCAAAGAAGCACCAGAGTCATTTGGTATGGTAAATATGCCCACAATCATAGTTGTTTATAACCTGCTGCCCAACATTATAAAAGCTAATACAAGTTAAACTCTTAATATGAAGACTATAAGTTTAGTTTGTCTATGATACTGATTCCACTTTAGTACAAAATAAATAAAAATTAAATCGTCATTACAAGTCAATTAATGTTTCATGACAAAATACTTTTGTTTATAGATAAATTAACCTTTATCCAAAAAGGCATTAAGAGAAAGCCACCCATGTGCAAAATAATGGCTATATCATTTTGACAACAATCCACCATTTTAACAACCGATAATGCTATAGATTATACATTTATGCATATATGCATGCGTATATATATATATATATATATGGGAACATTAACATTAGAAACTCGCTAAATTTACACGATTGCATTAACCAAATGAGCAATGGTGACTTGGAGTTTATCACCCTTTATCTTCATCTGGAGAATGGTCATTTGAGTTCTTGATTAATGCATAACAACTTATTGCTTGATGGGTATAAAGATAATTTAAAGTAGTTCATCTCCATTCATTAACTGTTCTATTCCAACATATCTCTTCCCCTAATATGGCTATCTCATATACTAAATTGATGCTGCTTCCCCTCCCAAGTTCTCCCCATCACCCCCTCTCTCTTTCTGTATCTTCTTCTCCTTTTACTTTTATTTTTCTGGTCTGTACATGCAGGTCCATGAGTGGAATGTCATCAAACGAGCAATAAGCCATCCAATCTATCCTTCAATTGCTCCCTCGTTGTGCACATTTAGTCTGTATGAAAATCTACATCCACGCACTTGGAAGTCCTCAAATGTAGACCGACAACACCGGTTAATGCCATGATGAAAATACAGATAGTCGTAACTCTGTAACCGAGAGGAGAAACAAATAAAAACCCAACATTGCACCTAAACATACAGTTTAATCTTCCAATACAGTAAAGTTCAGACTTCAGGGCCACCTAACCACAGGACCAAACTCAAAATCCAGTAAACAGGCATCTGCCCACTCCATTAACAGTTTTCCAACATTATCACTAAAATCCCAAACTCACAAAACTCCAAAGCAAACCTCAATGAAATGTGATCAAATTCATAAAATCAACAGAATGTGATGCCCAGTTCCGGCTATAATTCACATGCACAAAGTTCCAATTTTTGTAATCGAACCCCAACCCAGTTATCTAAACCAAACTTCTCGATTAAGCAACAACACAAAACAAGCAAAACCCAAATAATTAAATGCCTTAAAAACATGAAAGAATAAAAAATCAATAAAAAAATAACCTTGATTCAACAGCTTCTGAGCAGTCTCGTTAGGATCCATGTTATACTCTTTAAGGGCAGCATATATCTCAGCATCAGAGTGATTATGAACAATCTGTTTGATAGATTGAATGATTTTAAGCACGCGAGCAGATAGAATTTGAGTCCCACCTTCGATTCGCGAACCGGCGACCATCTCCAATCAAAGACCAAAAAACAGATTGAACAGTACCGAGTAAAACAAAGATATATATATATATTATCGAATGTATGTAACAATAATCAAAGCCTTGAACAGTGATTAAAGTAAGGAAAGGATAGGGTTTTGGAATCGAATCAAAGTGAAGGACGAACTTTGGAGAGTCGATACGGACTGTGAAGAAGAGAGAGAAGCATAGAAGAACAGCCGAACGAAAGAGAGAGAGCGAGGGTTTTCAAAACGCTATAACCCTCTTTTGCGAGGATTTTAATAGGTCGGGGTTCTTTTGAAAAGAGTGCTGCTATTGACCCCTGCTAAAAAAAAATTTGGCCTTTTATTCTATAATTTTTTTTATCAACAATGATTCATCCCACTAAAAATATCACCACTAATAGCACTAATGAATTAAAAAAATAAAAAAAAATAAAAAAAATTACAACTCCAAGACCAAAACATCACATCATTCATGGCGGGACCCACTGCCACTTAATTAGTGGGAGCACTAATTAGTGCTCCCAAGCATTTTTCTTTTTTTATTACAATTATATTTTAAAGTAAAATTATATTAAAAAACATTATGAAATAAAATACCTACTTATTAATAATAATTAATATTCTATAATATTGGACACCTACTCACAGTCCCACTCACACCTTCAACTCCAACTATACGTATTTCATGTTTGTAAACCCTAAACCTATTACTTTTCATAACCAATTAACATAAATCCTAAATCTATTATTTTTCATAATCATCTTAAATCCTGAATGTGTCATCTTCATCACCATCATCAACGCTATTAAACTTGAAAGTTTTGCTTCAAGTATAACGTATATTTCATCACTTATTTCACTATGTAGAGCAGTGGAGGACGAGGACAACATTCTCGGTCGTTTATCTGTCTTGTATTAACATTCTCGGTCGTTTTTGTTTCGTTCGAGCTATTCGGTACTGGTTTACTAACTGTTACAATTATGTTCGGTAACACAGTACTAAACATAATCATTTCGTTTAATATATAAGTTCCGAACATTAATGCAGATAGTCAGTTATGTAATTTTCTTTGTTAAACTAACTTAGAATGGAAAAAAGTAAATTGGAATGGATTTAAGTTATGTATTTTGAATGGATTTAATTCATATTATTTTAAGTTGTGAATTAGAATGGATTCAAGTCACACAGTGATGAACAAATTTTGTTCGGACATACAATGCTGACAGGATCATTATTGTTCAACAAAACAGTTCTGAACAAAATACATTTTTTCAGCTACACAGTGGTGAACAAATTGGGTGGGTGTGCTTTTAATTCTGAAAATATGGAGATTAGTTTTCTATTATGAAAATATTATGGAAATATTATGGAGATTAGTTTTTCATATATATACATTGTTATCCATTCCTACAATTCGCATCAATCTTTACTTTCTCATCTGAATTTCTCAATCAATGGCAAATTCCAAAGAGACCAACGTCGTCGAAATCTTAATCAACGAAGAACACCAACCTTACAAGTAAATGCATTGTGTTTTCAGGAACCACTTTTTAGATGTGGTTAATGTTGGAGAGAGAAGAGAGAGAAAAAACTAGGATTTTGAAGGGGTTTTGAGAGAGGAGAGAGATAAGAGAGAAAAATCTTCACTTTCTTATATAAACAATAGGGGTTTTGAGAGAGGAGAGAGAAAATAGAGAGAAGAGAGAGAAAAATCTTCACTTTCTCATATAAACAAAAGTGATTTTGAGAGAGTGGGAGAAAAGAGAGAGAAGATACATCACTGATGTGGAGAGAGAGAGAGGAGAGGGAATTGAAATGGATTCAGGTGGGTGTGCATTTCATTGTGAATATGGGTAGATTTGATAATAAGTGGGGTGTCTAAAAAAATATTATTAAAATTTAGGATTTATGACTGGGGTCCAAAGAATTTTGGTAGGTGCTAATAGCAGCACTCTTTGAAAATTCACAATTATGACTTTTTTTTTTTGCTAAACTACCCACCATTGTCGTTGACCTAAATTGCGTGTATACCCTTCTTCCATTGTCAATTTCTATGATATGGTGGCATGTTTTGTTTAGGTGGCGTTTGGTAACACCTACGTTTTTAATTTTCAGTTTATATTTATAAAAATTTTAAAAACTATCATAAAAATTTGTTTGATAAATATTTTGTTTTATAAACTAGTGGTCTCAGTTTATAAATTTGACTAAAATTTGTAAACTCAAAAAATGTGTTTCTGTTTTGAGTTTTGAGGATTTTTTTTTTTCCTGTCTTCCGCCGCCACCACCCTCCACCACCATCTTCTACCGCCACCACCTACCACCGTCTTCCGCCGCCACCACTCGTAATCACCATCTTCCGCCACTACCACTCCCCACCACTTTCCACCGCCTTCTTTTGCTGCCACCACCTGTTACTTACCACTATCTTCTGCCACTACCACTCACCACCACTTTCCACCACATTCTTTCGCTACTACCACCTGCCACCATTTTCTGCTACCGTTTTTCGCCACCACCACTTGCCACTTGCCACCACTTTCCACCATCGTCTTCGGCGCGCCACCACCATCTTCTGCCACTATCACCCGCCATCACTTTCCGCCACCATCTTCCGCTGCCACCACCTGCCACCTACCACCACCGTCTTTCGCCGTCACCACCCGCTACCTGTTACCACTTTCCACCACCATCTTCTGCCACCACCACCCGCTACCACTATCTTCCGCCACTACCACTCGCCACCACTTTCCACCACCTTCTTCCGCTACCACCACCCGCTACCTACCACCACTTTCCATCACCGTTTTCCGCTGCCACCACCTGCCACTACTTTCCACCACCGTCTTCCACCGCTACCACCTGTCACCTGCCACTAATTTCCGCCACCGTCTTCCGCCAGCACCACCTGCCACCATCTACCACCACCCTCCATCACTATCTTTTGCCGCCACCACCCACCACTTGCCGCTATTACCCATCCCCCGCCACCCGCCATCATCGTCTTCCGTCACCACCACTCATCACCACCCACCACTACCATCTTCCGTCGCCACGCACCCACCACCACCGTCTTCCGCTGCCACTATCCACCACTACTCGTCACCACCCACCACCCGCCACGCCACCACGCGTCACCACTCGCCATTTCTCACTCTTTTAGTTTATATTTTTTAAAATTTTTAAACATTTTGTCCAAACCAAACGTGTTTGTAATTTATGTTTTTCTAAAAATAAACAAAAATCAGTTTATAAAATTTTTGTAAATATAAACTGAAAATGTAAGTGTTACCAAACAGACCTGCGTTTGGGTTTAGGATTTGGTTGGAAAAAAAAATAAATTATTATTATTTTTTAAAACTATGTATCAATTAATTATTATTTTTTTCTCACACTTATCTATTTGATTATAAAAAAAATATCAAACTCTAAAACTATTTTTAAAATATAAAATCAAACAAATTTTTAAATTTCTAAACTCTCCCTAAAAAATTATTTTTGAAATAATATCTCAAAAGGTAAATTATACTGACACCTCCTGATATTTCTATTTAATATAAATCCTTCCATCATATTTAAAAAAATTACACTTACCCCCTATTAGATTAAAATGACATGTATCTAGTTGAATTTGAGTTAATTGATTAAAGAGTAATGATTCATCCCCCTTTTCCCCCCACCCCCTTTGACCCCCTCTCTCTCTCATTGGTTATTTTTCTTTTTCTTTTTCTTTTTTTTCCTGCTCCTCCAATCACCCCCTACCACGTGACAAAGGGGGTGAGGGGGTGACCCCAAAAGGGGGTCCCAAACATTATTCTTGATGAAATGCATATCATGTTGGTAATTAAATGCAGATAAAGACTACATAAGTTTGATAGTAGCGTGAATGAATTATGAATGTTGGTAGTTAAGGAATTGTTTGGCTGAGGCAATTTGTTGGTTGGACTGGATGTACATTTCTCAATTTTAACATGTTAAATTGTTAATTTTCATTATTTTATTGTTCAACCAATACATTTAGAGCATTTTGATGTTTCAATAAATTTATCTGTTAACATTTCCACTAGTGGGATTTATCAAAAAAAAAAAAAAAAATATTTATATATGTATATATTTCCACTATCCGTTAATATTTCCACTAGTGGGATTTATCAAAAAATATAGGGTTAATTACATTAATAGTCCTTATAGTTTGGGACTTGTGTCACTTTGGTCCATGACTTTTCAATTGTGACACATTTGATCCTGAATTTTGAATCTTGTTCCAAATAAGGACAATTAAAAATATCATTAGATTTTTCAAGGATAAAATCGTCAATTTGATAAAATATAAACTCATTTGACAAAAATAAATATCAATTTTTTTTTTAATTTTTTAAAAATTATTTTTATCCACCAATGATAAAATTATGTAAAATTAATAAAAATTACATGATTAATTTTTTTAAATTAATTTTACATGATTATCATTCAAACACATAATAAAAATTAATTTGGTAAAAAAATAAATAAATGTCTAAAAGATTTATCAATTTTACATAATTTTATTTTTAGTGGGTAGAAATAATTTTTAAAAATTCAAAAATATTTGTTTGACATTTATTTTTGTCAAATTAGTTTATATTTTATCAAATTGACAATTTTACCATTGAAAAATCTAATGATATCTTCAATTGTCCTTATTTGGAACAAGATTCAAAATTCATGATCAAATATATCACAATTAAAAAGTCAGGGACCAAAATGACGCAAGCCTCAAATTATAGAGACTATTTGTATAATTTGGGGGTAATGGTGAAATTTCATTATCTGTTACTACACTCATAAAATAAATTTTTGCTATTTTAATTTAAACTGTAAAATCTAGTTTAGAAATTTTGAACATTTCACTATTTTGATTTAAAAAGTGAAAAAATCTCGATTCATATTTGCATGGGTGATGCTAAGTAACAACCTGGTGGTCAAATTTCACTATTTAACCAATATACACAAACAATGACATTTGTATTTTAAATCTAACAATAAAATTTCACTACTTTAGCTAGAAAAATAAAATTTCATTTATGTACTTGTCCAATACAGGAGTTTTAAACATTTCAATAGGATGATAAAAATTTTGTTAATATTTCTATAGTTGTGGTGGAAGTTTTTGTCAAGAAAAATTTGTGACATTCAAACTTCAATTGACCATAAATTTGAGCATATATTTTTGCTTGTCACATGTTTTTTTTTATTAATTTATTGCGTTAACTTTTAGTTTGGACATTAAAATTTTACTAAAATTATTAGAGGGCTGTTATACATTATTAGTTTTTTTATTTTATTTTATTTTCACCTAGTACATGGCAAGACATTATTTGTCTGCATTTCCTTAACAATTATTTCCAAACAAAGGTTTAATCATAACAACAATGATTCATCCTCCATTTTCCTCCCACCCCCTTTGAACCCCTCTCTCTCTCTCATTGGTTACATTTTCTTTTTCTTTTTCTTTTTTTCCCTACTCCTTCAATCACCACCCGCCACGTGGCAAAGGGGATGAGGGGTGACCCCCAAAAGGGGGTCCCAGCATTATTCTAATCATAAAATCTACTGTAAACTTAATAAAAAATAGCAACAATAAAAAAATATATGTAAAGCATTTCTCTATTTTGTAATTTATTAACCAAGTTAACAAATAAAACTCATCCCAATCTCCTTATGTGGCATTCATATAATTTTTTTTTAAAAATTTAAAAACAGATAAATTTTAAATATAATGAGAATTACATTGAAATAAACATTTTTACTATGAAAAAAAGTTCAACAAATATCAACAAAACATAACAACTATGACAATCCAAAATCCTAAAGAACTCGGCATCCTTCCTAGGTTGAAATCCTGAGTCCGGCTTGGGTTCCCGGTCCAAAAAAAAAAAGAGAAAAAACCTAAAGAAGAAAGACCCAAGTGGGTTTAATTTAATATGCCAACAACCATAAACATTGCCCTTCCAATTGTCACCATCTAACCCTGAATTCGTGGTCCTCAATGTGAGCTCAATTAGATTAATTCAGTCAAGTCAAAGTCTATCTAATTTTCTTCTCTAAAATAAATAAATAAATTGATTGCAGCAACAACATATGTATGCAGTATAATAAATCATACAAATAATCATCATCGCAATGATCAGATAAATTCTGACTTGAAATTGCAGCACATGTAGTTTAAATAATTAAATAAATAAAATAAAACAATTCATACCAGATCTTCTGGCAAGGCCATACAATACAAGTGATTAAGCTGCTTATGAAAATGAACTCAAGATTAAGAAGATAGCATTTATTTTCAAAGAGTAGCTAAATCTATTTTAAGATGATCAGTCTAACAAATAGCATTGTTTTCAAGTAGTAAACTCAAATGAATAGCATATATTACTATGAAAATGGATTTATCATTGCAATATCTGAATTATCTTGACTACAATAAAAAGCACCCAACAATTTCACATTATCCAACCCCCTAAACAGCTCTTCCTCCTCCAAAAAAAAAAAAAATTGAAAAAAAAAGGAGATTAAGATGAAAAAAAAAGTGGGGAAAGAGAAAAGAGGGAGAAAAACCGTGTGTCAAGATAAAACACCTAAATTAGAGAAGGAAACACAATCTCGAAGATCACCACCTTATAAGTAGTCTAAATCACAAGTATTGTTCTTGTATCCTGGCTCGGTTCTCAGCCCACCATAATCTTGCGTGCATTTCCCCAAACCTTTCTCGGCTGCAACAAGCATTTGTAAAGAACATTAATAATGTTTTAAGTCAGAATGATCCAAACTGATGTCTTTTATTATGTATTGGTCAGGAATTTTGATTTACTATGGGAAAAAAAAAGATTAATAACATTTCAGCTATGTGCAAGGTTGTGTGAAATCACGAGACCAGGCCATACTGGGGGAAGATAAACCAGGGCCCTTTCGTCGCCTAAGGTGGTAACAGGTTGGGGACCAGCTTCTCAAGCCAGAACACGACACAAACCACTAAGGGGTCGTTTGTTAACATTGTCAAACAAAAAACAGAAAACAAGTTGTTATTTTATTTTTGTTAAAAACAGAAACTGAAAACTTGATAGGTGTTCAAAAAGTTTACTAGTGATTGCAAGGAACCAATCCAAATCCATGGAATCCTCTCCTAATAGTCAGAAAAAAGGGCCTTTCTAACCATAGACTAGATAAAACTGCAGCCTTTAGTTGAAGAGATTGATTTCTTCCTATACTCCAATTACCCCAAAGCTCAAATTCCAAATTGCCAACTCATTAGCAACTGAAAATATTGAAAATCATTGATAACAAAACAAAGATTCGTGAGTTTTAAGTTTACCACCATTGTGTAAATTTGAGTCACCATCAAGTAAGCAGAATTAAAATAAATAAATAAAATCGAACTAAATATATCTTTCAATTCTTAGAATCTTGAAGGACCACATTCTAGAATCTGTTAAGCTATGATAGATTTCTACCATTTGTTTATATTGGTGATTGAAAATTTCATCATCACGTGCTTTAAGATTGCCCCCAAGTCAATCACAATCTTTCTGCCACAGTTACAAGTGGCAGGTACCAAAATAGGTCAATCACAGTGAGCCGTATTTTTCGGTTGACATTCTTGTTAAGTTCTTTCATAATTTACCACTTAGTTTAACACTCATTAGAATACAAGATACCTATATACCTATGACCAGTTTCATTTCTTCTTCAGAAAACACACCATAGAATTTCACTTACCTGAATCGGACACGTCTAAGCTCCCTAGTGCCACCTGGCAATGATCTGATAGTGATGTAGACTCCTGGCTCATCCTGTTCAACCCATTCAGTGTCCAAATCACTGGCATTGCTCATGGACAGCTCCCCTGAGTGATCTGCCTCTCTTGAGTAGCTAGTCCTTGCAGAAGCATCAACTGATGATGTCTCGGTTTTTGCACCACTGATGCTGGAGAGTTTTGGGGTTGAAGCAAGACCACCTGCATCATGGTAATGAAGGGATTGGATTGGGTTGTGGTCGAATGAATCTGATGAAGAGTAGCCCATCCCAGTAGGGCAGTGGAAGTTGCGGGGTAGGTGCTCTTTGCTGAGTGGTGGTGTCACAGGGCTGTCCTCAGCAGATTCAATCTTTAAGTTCTGAAAAGGAAGAGCATGTGTGTCAACACCAAATAGTAAATATAAATATATCCTTACAATCATCTTAAATGAAATGATGGCATTATGCTTTGAACAGGATTGTAGAACAAAAATGCATCCGTGAATGAAGTCATCAGAAGGAAGAAAAAAAAATGATCTTAGAACATGAAATAAATTGTCAGTGATCATTCACATGTAATGAAAATGTATTCGGTTATATGATCTGAACAAACAATTGGATGTATTTCATATATAACAAACAATGGGGAGGAACAATCTTATTTCATAGGATTTTAGAAATTATAACAAGCCATAACATGACACCATTCACCAAAAATATGAATGTGCAATTCATTAATTCATTCCTCAAGCACCATTGAAATCACTTCTTAAACAAGACAAATCCACACCATCTATACATGATATCATTATTTCCAAAATATTACTAGCTCTTAGTGAATGAGAACTCACCTCATCCACGGACCTTGATGGAGTTTGTAACGGTACTGCCTGGTGATCAAACCTCTGAACATTGTATAATTCCATAACCTTGTCATAGTTCTCAGACCACCATCTTTGAGCTTGCCATTTATTGAACATCTCACGACTGCTCAACCCAACAGAAGAATCATCAGCACTATTAACCAAAACCATATCTGAAAGAATGCTTTGGGGTAACAGAATGTCAGAATCAGGAAATTACATGTGAACATAGCTGCATCAAACTAGTTTAAATGGCTGTCCAGTTAAGGGCAAAGCCATTTAATTGATAGTTATACCCACTTCTAATATGATCATCATGAAAATAATGCCAGTGTTGATATTTTAGAAAATTGAATCACTGTAATTGAGTCACAACTTAAGCAACACATATTAGATATTACCACCATAATTGCTTCATTGGTTATATAGAAAGATCGTTATTCGTTACAAGCACAGGTGTGCACCAGTTCAAGGCCAGATAGACCTGGTCCAAACTGCCCAACTCTTCTGATGCCTTTTTTGTGGCTCTCAACAAGTCTATTTAACATCTTAGTTTCAGGGTGGTTCAGGTATTTACAAATAGGCAGTGCACAGGTTGGGGTCAACCCCTCATAAACACCCAAGAAAAAAAATTAGAGAAGAATTCTCAGATTTTACAATTTTTTTGATAAGCATTAAAAAAAAACTTAGAATAAAGAAAGAAGAGAGAGCTACTTGCTATTCAAGAATGCTTGAAATTTCTGATTACTTTTTTTATATTCTACAGACCATGTCAATTCCTGTACTCCACCGACAAAAAGACAACGCCAAAAAAGTTGTTTGTCTTTGTTTCCAATGCAGAGGACCTCGTTCGTGTTCCTACACTGCAACTTGTGTGGTGTGTGGATGTCTATATTTCTTTTTCTGTTATGGCCAATATAGCTTAACATATGTAGCAAAATGACAAATTGAGTGACACAAACACAATAGACATTATAGTAGTGACAACAATAACAGAAGTACTAATTTCATCCATTGTTTCAGCCAACCGACTGAGGTAACTAATCCACCCCCAAAAAATAGAAATAAAAGATGGTGCACTGGCTTCTGAATGAACATTCTCGCTTAACAGAGAATTTTAAAGTTTACCCAAATACAAATGGATTATGCACACCAACAGGCCATCAGTAAAACTAGTCTATAGAACGGTCTTTTTTTCTTACCATTCCAATCTGTACAAGTTAGAAGTTGTCGCTAAATTTGCAAATTAGTTCTTCACTTTATTAGGCTGGGCAGTTCCTTGTAGGTGAACTGGTTCGTGTAAAATAAAAACAATCAACCTAATAGTGATAAGATAATCATCACGATGATGTGAATTTTGTAATTGTCTGTAATAAATCTCCATTGGTTATCGGATAGTGAAAAACTTAAAATATGCAATCTTACCAACATCCAATTGTATATCTACAATACAATTTTATAAAACCAGAATGCAGCACATTTAAAATATTTACCAGTCCATGAAAAGACAAATACTGGTTCATAAACAGGAAGTCAGGTGGGGGAAGTCACCTTTTGAGTGCTTTATCTGCATGTGTAGATTGTCACTATCATCAATCAATGAGATTTTTGTCCCAGAAATCCACAATCCAGTGAATGGTGGGTACCAACAATCACATGCAACAGACAAAATGCTACTTACAGTACTGTGCTTAATATACCAGATAAGTACCCTACCATTTTTATGGTGTTCATAAAGATAACAAAGTTCTGCACTATGCAGTGCTAAAAGTTCCCAATAAAGCCAACACACTCCAAGTTAAAGCAGGGAGGCCCGAGACTCGCTATACACGATGCCTGACTACAGTGCACCACAGACTGCCTATTCTGATCTCTTGAATTTAACCATTTAATATCAATCAAATTCCACATTTTAATAAGTTCTACAAGAATTATGTATGGTTGATTGATTCTCATAGAGCAAAACAAGAACAATCAGACAGTTCCAATCTCTGATTTTTTTATCCCTTACTTTTTAGACTTCATTGGTTACCAACCCTGACCTTTATTCTACATTGTTAGTGAAGTCCTCATAGACCCATTTGGGGCCACCTCCTGAATTTAGGTTTAAAAGCAAACCAGTGGGACTTCACTCACATGCAAATTCAGTGAAGCCACTTCATTATCAATTAAAAAATTCATATACCAAAAGGCCATGGCCCAACAACAATCATCTCTACTACTTTACCGAAACCCATGTGATCACTTGCAAACAAATCATAACTTTCAAAAAATTAGATCAACAACAAGGAACAAATTGGAACAAAAGTACTACCTGAATCGAATCCGCTTCAGATCATTCCCACCCTGAGGCAGAGAAACAAAAGTGATAAGAACACCAGGCTCAACCTGAGCAACCCATTCCTTAGGTTCATCTTCCTCCATGAACACTACAGACTCGGTTCGGCCACTACCAGAAGCCGGCGTGGCTTCGCCGCTCGAAAGGCCCTTCAGCCTCGTCTCCATTTCCTTCCCCCACAGCCTCGGCGTCGAGCTAGAGCTCCCAGTTCTTCGGTAAGAGCAATGAATCCTCTCCGACACCGACGCAGCCTCCGAATCAGCACAGTTCCTTTTCTGGTTGTGATTCGACGAACCCGAACACGGTTTGCAGTGCTTATAGGCACCCGAAGCTTTCACCGCAATGTCCTTGATCTAAAAACTGAATCAATCAATGCCTCATTTTCGAAAAATTGAGAACATAATGCGAGAATACCTGAGAAGTAATAGCTTTGATGGCTTGCTTTGTTCTTGGTGTAGCGGTGGTGTCGTCGTCGTCGTCTTCTTGAAGCGATCCACCGCCGAGTTGCTTCGAACAAGCAATACATGTCAACATCTTCAATTTTCACCAGTAAAACTGAACAAAAAAAAGACATGAATTACGAGTTAAATTTCTTGTACAACACAGAATTTAGTCTCGTAGACAGTCCATTGATGAAGATCTAAGTGAGAAAATGCTCGAATCAACCAAAAAAACTCGGAATTGTAGGCTACACGAGTTACAACAAGAAATAAAGGGCTCGAATTCCTAGAACAAACCTCTTGGGATTTGACTAACTCAACACCGTGTGAATGACTTGGATCAGAAATTCAGGTAAGAAAGAGAAAGCTTGATTGATTCATGACGACAGAGAGAAGAATGGAATGAGGGTGTGGATCGAACGGTCTTTTAAATCACCATTTGTATTTCAATTGCCAGAGCGAAAGAGTGAGAATCAAGGACTCACTCCCTCTCTCTCTCTTACTCTCTAATCTATCTCCGCAAGTCTCTTTCACTAAAATATACTACAAAAACTCTCGCTCGTCTGTGTGGCAGTAAAATAGTCTCTGCATCTCTCTCTTGCTCTGTGAGAGGGTGATGCCGTTGAGATCTTTGGGGATTTCAAAGACTGCAAGTTGGGGGGACTCACTAATAAATTTAAGGAAAATAATAATAATATTAATAAATTCAGAAATTGAGTATTATAATAAAATAATATTTTTAATTTTTTGATTTATTTTTAATTTAAGTTATTTATTTATTTTTATTAGGTAACACTAACCATGTATTTTTAGAAATTGATTAAAAGTTGATTTTTTTATTTTTTTTTTAAATACAAAAAAGTAAAAATGTGATGTGTCTAAAAAAACTAAAAAAGGGCTATTTTGGAAAAATTATTAAATTTTAACCTATTTTGAGTCACATCATCTTTCATATTTTTTACATATTTTTTTTAAAAAATAAAAATATTATAAACCCCAAATAATCTATCAATGAGTGTGGAAGCCACACAAATCCACATGTGTGTGATGAGAGTTTTGGTAAAAAATTTGGTAGATTATTTACGGTTAACTCAAAAAAAAAAAATCAAAAAATTAATTTTTAACTTAAGTTACTTTTTCAATTGTTAAATAGTAAGTTCTTTTATATTTTGACATCATATTATAGATAATTAATCACTTCACAAATTAAGATGTATTTATCATTTGGATGTTTTCATTATTTTTTCTTTTTGGGTTTAGATGTTATTGTGTAATTCTTTCTTAGTTAGTCGTTGTCAAATTTCTTTTATACAGTTGATATTTTAATTTAATTAAGAATGTTAACTTTACAATCTTATAATTTAATATATATATATATATATATCATATAAAATCATTATATGATAATCCAATTACAACATATTTATATTTAATTTTTTTAATAAATTTTATATAATTTCAATTTCAACATATTTTTATTTTTCAAATGAATATAAAAGAAAATTAAATAGTTAGAATTACTTTTAATTTTATGTTACTAATTCTTCTTCTAATTTAACTATTGTTTTTAATATCAAAATGAGTATTTATTTTACTATTTTATAATTTAGGGGGTTTTTTTAGGGTGCCTGGTATTAAGACTTTATAGTATAAAGGACATCTAATATTTTCATAATGTCCAAGGTCCCTCAATTTGATCCAGGGAAATTCTGGTTCAGAGAAATTCTCTCCAACCTAGAGAAATAGAGAATTTATTAATTTTTTTAATTTTTTATTTGTTTTTTCATTAATTTTGTTCAATTAATTAAAATTTGGATCAAATCTTTTTAAAAATGTGTAATGTACCTCAAAAAATTACTTTAACCAAGTTTGGTGAAAACAAATATCTTCAATCTTTATCTTTTAATAATTTTATCAAATGTAGGTGGAAAAAAAACTTGCTGAAAATTGATAAAAGATTTAACTCTGAAAATTTTGTTTCTCTTTTGATTTAACAACAGTTTAATGAAAAAATTGGACCTCATTTTATCAAATTTAAAGTTGATGGAGGATTTTGTGAGTTTTGCTAACAAAGCATGAGAAAATTACAAAAGATACATCAATTTTGAAGCATTTATTAGTAAATTCAATACACTTTTAAGAATTTTAAAACATTTTATAATCTTTTTACATTTTTCCTCACCTTCGCAATATTAATAAGTCTTCCCCAAAGACCTCATTTTAACATGTGTTCCTAATGTTAGCATCTGTCATTAAAAATTGATAATTAAAGAGTAAAAATTAAAATTATTTCTCTCAAATTTATAACAAATTTTTTCAATTTATTTATTAAGTTACTTTTGCCTAACAAATTGTAAATAAAAATGACACCATACAGTTTAACACAAACTCTAGAAATAAAATAAAAGAAAGAAAAATTATAAAAACTATGCCAAACATCCCTACATGTGTTGCTAACATTAATATTTGAGTGTTATATTACTTATGTTTAAAATAAATTTAAACCATACAATGTACTTTTTTTTGTGTAGTTTTATGTGTTTATAGTTGTCCATTATAAAGTCTAAATTTATTTAAGAATAATGATATATAAATAGAAAATTTTGCACAAATAATTTATACAAAATAACATGGCATATTTGTGTCATTCATTTCAAAAGTAATTTTCATATTTCACTTGTAAATTTTTTCATTAAATTATTGATTTAAAAGAGGATGATAAGCCTTGCATTATTAAGGTCTCATATGAGATTTTAGTTAAAAAGTTAAAAAAATTATTACGAAAAATTCAATTCATCATCTTTATTTTTTTACACATTTTTTTCTTGAATTTTTTTTGTCTTTAATATTTTTTTTTAATTTATGTCAATTTTTTACTTTTTTGTCCATTTTATGTAGATGAATCTAAAAAGTAATTTAAAAAAAGCCAAAAAAGCCTACTATTCATTTGCTTATTTTGTCTTTTTTGGATTTTTTTTTAATAACTTTTAATTTCCTGAATTTCCCCGTTGAGATGAATTTTCAAAATTAAAACTTTCTAATTTTTTTTTTTAAAAATTACTAAAAATGAAAATAAGCACAAACATATACCAAAAAAACAAGAAAACAAATAATGCCATATCCCACCAATTTTGGACTCCTAATACCAACCCCTAATGACATAGCAAGCATTCGTTGCATAGTTTTAATATTTAAATGGGGTTCTCAAGTTATATGACTTATGACACATCACTAGGGGTTGGTTTGAGGATCCAAAACATTTTTCAATAAGTAAACTACAAAAACCAGTTTATAAAAAAAAAAATCCTCCAAAAACCAATTCCCAAAAAATTTTAAATAAATTTGGATAATTTAAATTAATGAGGGAGGGGGAGGCGGGATGTGCGTGAGTGTTGTGTTCAGGAAGCGTGCACGGCGCAACCCCGAGTCCGAGATGCGGAGGAGGTGGTTCCAAAGCAACAAAGCCAAAGCCAAAGCACACAAGAAAAGAACACTGCGCTAGTGACCACTACTGCCCTGTGGTGCCTGTGGGGGCTTCTTCACTCTTAAGAAATCTGTCTGCTTTTCTCATCCCCCATCTCTACTGCCTTCATTTTTCTTTTTCTTGTTTTCTTTTTCTTTTTTTAATAATTAAATGTTCCGATTTATTTACGTGCATCTCAACTAAACTCGTTATCTTAAAATTAACGACCAAATAAATCTCCTGTGACCTCTTGAGATGACACTACTCGCTTCATTTATCTCGTCTTATCAGAGTTTCAGTTTGATTTTATACAAAAAAAAAATGTGTACATGCCCAGAAAAATATTTTACATTTTATTGTGTAGTTTAAATTCATATCTTATAATTGTGAGATTTATATGTAAAATAAATTTAAGATATAATGATTTTCTAATATATTTTTGTAGATGAGTTTTTGTGTACCTAACTAACATCGTTGGGTTTACTAATTTTGTGAGTTTTTTTTTTTTTTTTTGGGGGGGTGTTCAAAAAACAAAAACTGGTTTAGTGTTTTTTTTTTTTGGTTTGGAAAATTTGAATAAATAATAATAAAATAACATATTTTGAAAATTGTTACATATGATGATTGACGATGAAAGGTGGATGAATATAGTAGTAAGAGGTAGTGGTGGTAATAGAAAATAGTCACGAAAATTAGTAGTCGGAGTGTTGTAAGATGGATATAGGGCCATCGACAGTCACAAGTAATCAATCAGTCGCCAGAAGGTGCCCGCGGGTTAACTGGCTAATGGCCAACCATGTTGGAGGGCAGTGGAGATAAGGGGAGAGGAAATAGTGAAATTTTATTTTGAAAATAAGAAAAAATAATTTTTAATTTTAAAATTTTTTAGAATTGTCACTTACCAAAAAAAAGAATTTAAAGTATGACCAACCAGAGTTGAAGTACACAGAATTAGAGTACAAAAAGTAGTATAGAATTTTCCTAAAAAATATATTAGATTATTGAAAATTTACATACATTAGATTGTGTATATATAATTTACTATGTATTCTAATTTTATATATATAATAGAGGGGTCAGTTCAAATGAGCCATGTTGTCATTTATTCGGTGGATTAATTATTCGGTAGTTGCGTATCACCGCATCAACATTAATATTGATTTCAATCCATTAATGATCTGCTATTTAAAATAAAAATAAAAAATAAAAAAAAGAGAGAATTTTAATTTTCTCGAGACCCCCACCACAAGAAGGTCAAAATATATATATATATATAGAAAAATGTTTGGGGGCCCTAATTCTGTGGCTCAAATGTGGCTTAAATGGTCAAAACGACGTCGTTTTGGCCATTTTGATGTTGTTTTGTACTCAAAACGACGTCGTTTTGGCCATTTGAGCCACATTTGAGCCACAGAATTTGGACCCTCTACCATTGCTCTATATATATATATATTATCATTTTCTTATGTACCAACCTGGATATCATTAATATTTCCATTCCCCAGTTATAATTTTAAGTGCGTATGAGCATCTTTAATCCTTCATTTTTTTAAATTAAATTTGTTAAAAAAATTATATCAAAATCTTTATATATAGCTCACTTTAATGGTGAAAATTAAAATTTTACCATTTTATAAAAATACTTAATTTATTGTAAAAACTTCCATTAACCAATCCAAGTGAAAAAATAAAATAAAATTCATCTTTAATCCTTCAATTTTTAAAAATTAATAAATAAGTTAGAAAATTATAATTTAAATTGATAAATTTTTAAATTAAAAATGTATTTATTACAATGATTTAACCTTAACTTCTTCCTTTCTTTCCTTTTTTATTTATAGTTTTTCTTTATTTATTTTTGACAATGTTTCAAGTCCTATTTTGGAGTGCTAATGATTCATGATGGGTGGGGGAAAGACATGATGGCTTCCATATCACATGGTGGACATATACCCAACCAATATAGCTACATAAGAGGCTAAGAAAGAAGATATCTATCTATCTGTCTCTATCTCTCTCTTTCTATCTACTGTATAATATGCAATTGATGCCTTTTTAACAGTAATTTTGCTGTTTATTTGTGGCTCTCTATTTCTCTCTCCTTTTTTGCCCTTCTATTTATGTTATGGATGGATGCTGTACCGTGGTGAATCAATTTGTAATTTTATCTGTTAATTTTTTTCAG